CTATGCAGGTGAAGCGCCTCACCATGGGCATTGGCCTGCTCCGGGGCACCGAGGACAGCCGCCCACTGGTGCACAACACATGCGGCTCCTCGTTGAACTCGGGCTCATCGCAGACCATTTCGGATGGCTATGTGAACGAGGCCATCTGCGAGCCGGACAAGTATGTGGCCAGTAAATTTGGTGACTCGTGTCGCCAATCGCTCACCGCCCTGGAAACGGCCACACAGCGCCTGCAGGTGGAGCTGCCCGGCAACAAGAAGTATTTGCGGGAGACATGCAGCGGTAAGTGAGGGAGCACCCGACCGCCCGCGGCCTAGTCGGAAAGGAAATAGTAACCGAAAGTTTCACTTACCCCTTCTCTTCACACACACCCACACGTACACATCTGCAGCTAATTCCAGTCCAAAACTGTTCGCCGGCAATGGATCGCTGCGTCTGGATAACCTTAGCTTGGCCGAGCAGCAGGAGCTTAAGGGGGCCGCCTGGTTCCAGGCGGGCATTCCGCGCGAGATCTCACTGGAGGTGCTCTCCCGTCAGAGTCCCGGCGCCTTCCTGGTGCGTCAGAGCAGCACCAAGCCAGGCTGCTTTGCCTTGTCGCTGCGTGTGCCGCCGCCATCACCGCGTGTGGCCCACTATCTGATCCTCAGGACACAGCGGGGCTACAAAATCAAGGTGCGTATGAAATTCATTTGTAATGGAGTTATTACTTATTATTACCCATCCGCTTACTTTGCAGGGCTTCACCAAGGAGTTTAGTTCGCTGAAGGCCTTGATCACCCATCACTCGGTGATGCCGGAGCTGCTGCCCGTGCCGCTGACGCTGCCCAGGCCGGCGCACGTGCGCTCCCACGCCCAGGCACCGGTCTACGGGAGTGGCAGCGGTGGCGGGGGCGGGGACTTTGAAATGTACGGCTCGCTGAATGATTTTCGCAACATGATGGCCGATTTGAATGTGTGACCGTTGGGCGCACTTAATTAATTAAGTAATTATGTCACGTTGATTCAATTAAGCCACCTGGCTTGTCATATTGTCCGGGGTCGCGCGGGGGACGAGATGTGGACGTGGGATGGATGCGACGGGACGGGACGGGATGGGGTCCTGTCTGGACAGGATAACAATCTGTTTAATTTGCGTAATTGGCTGTGCTGACGGTTGACGTGGCTACCAATGAATGGGCCGGGGCCGATGCCGATCCATCTGTCCACCAGGTGCTACAAAAATTTGCAAAAAATGTTATGAAAATTGATAATAAAATCAGCCACTGAGCTTGGGTGGAGACTGTGGTCACGGTTGGGCAGATGGGTGAATAGGGATGAGATGGTATGGGATGGGGGTACTCATGTAAGCGCACACACACAAAAAAGAATGTGCTCAAATCACTTTTATGAAACTGATTAAAAAAATGCAAAAAATATGCAATATGTATGTATACGCAAACAGAACATGCCAGTGATTATTATATTGCACGTTTTCATTTGGTTATTTGGCGGAGTGGCAGGTGCAGCAGACAGACATTCGGAATGGGCCAGCAGCGGATTAAATATTAATATGTACTAGTGGAAGAAGTAAGGGGAGGGCGCTAGGGCCTGCCGGGGTCGTCGTACTGCGTAGTAGCCCGCGAATGTTTTGAATGCGGGACTGGGTACAAAGAATGCAGACGCACTGCCAGCACTTACTGTTGGTGTATTAATAACCACTTGGGTAGATAGTATTTTTTTTTTTTTGGAATTACTAATTGTATTGTATTTGTATGTATTTTGTGTAATAAAATTGATAGAAAACAATAAACCGTGCGTGTAACTGTTCTTGCTGCGGAGTAGTGCTGAACAATTCTAACAGCGATCGATAGAAATATCGATCACATGAATGGTCACACTAGCTCAGTATATGGGAATATCGATTAAAACAAGTTTAGTGCTATCGCTTTTTAAATTCAAATTAACAACAGACTTAAATAAAACAAGGAAAAATCGATTAAAGTCTGAAACGCCTAAATAAGCATTTAAACATAAACATTATTGTTCATGATAAAAATGCAGCCATTATAAATGCTCAAACAGTTTCGTGCGCAGTCAAAGCTCTTTCAAACCAGGTTTTTTGTACCTCAGGCCGCAAGTTGTGCGTCTTGTTGGATTCTGCGTTGAACCTTTGCGCGTTTCAGACGTTTTCAAAGCAGTTTCGCGAGTTTTTCGTCAACGGAAATACAGTATTTGGAGGAAAATCAGAGCCGAGGTAGGTACAAACCAGCTCCAGTTAACCAGTCGGGCACCTTGCAATTATATTAACTGGAATTTATGACAATGGTCGTCCGACCGAGTGCAGCCTCAAGAGCAGCGACATTATATTGTGCAATTTTAATTAACTAGTGACGAAACTTTGGCAACAGTAAAACAAACTAAAAACTGTAAACCAAAACCCAAATCGAAAATTAGCCAAGACAATGATTGCTCTTTGCCACACAGAAGTGCGTCTCAGCCGCGTTGTTACTACGTCTTTGGCAAATACTCCAAGATCTACATGTTTGTACAAGTTTACATCCCCCACATCGATGCCCCTAAATGGCGATGAAAATGATAAATTATGTTCTACGTAAATCACCAAAAAAATATATGCAAATTATTTATGATCAAACGGGGGGCCAAGCTAAGAGATTTCGCATGGCCAGAAGCTACGGCCAAGAATCATCAACGAACCATAAAAAAAATATGTTCGGGTCATTTTCGAAATGATAATTAAGCTCCGACGCTGAATTTCTTTGTCGTTAATTATGGCTAAGACCAAAATCACGAAACAAACAGAAACAGAAACGAAACAGAAATCTCGTGGGCAGACAGTCAGTCAGTCAGTCATGGTATGGGCATTTCGTTTGTAATGGCATTTCGAAAAAGGTTTCCCCTGTCAGATTTACTCAACCTCAGGTTCCAGCCCCTCCGCTTCCATTCCAATCCACAACCCCTCCACACACAGATATTGTTGCCAATTGTTTTCTGCGGCGGCTGCTTCGCGCCATGTAATGTGTTTATTAAAAATTATTATTGTTCACATTGAGAGGTGGCGGGCGGCGGGCGGCAGGCAGCAGGCAGCAGGCGGCTGTGGCTATGGCTGTGGCTGTGGCTGTGGCGGCATCTTTATGGGCCACCAGCTGATGTGGAGCAATTTGAGAGACTGTCTGTTGGGGCATCTCTGTTGAAAAACTCGTTATGCGGCAAGCCAAGAGCCGGAGAAAAAGCCCAACAAAATATAATTGTACAAAAGTAAAAAATTAAAAACGTGCCAACGATGAGTGAGCACATTACCATTATCCCATTACCCCCAGCACAGAGCACATGGTGAAGCGAGTACCGGGTATTATGGTTGCTAAAGTATGTATAAAATGTGGACTTGCTGTAGTTGGGAGTGGGTCAATCCAGAGGCGAAGGTTGGCAATGCAATCGGGGTAATACCCAGGCAGGCGGGCTGGAAATCCTTATTGGGCAAACACTGATTTCCCCACCGCAAGGTTAAGGATTGCCCACGCTTTCGATCGACCTTCAATCAAGAAAATTTTGAGATTGTCATTGTGAAAAGCAACATAATTATCATCGTCACAAAAGCCTAATGAGTTACTTAGCACTTTGGGCGTGCCTCTCGCACTACCTCCTGGCAAACGGAAACGGATCATTAAATTAGCATGCAGATGATCGCAACCCAATGAATGCACCAGCCATCAATAAATACAGACCTACGCCCTTCGCCCATTGAGTAACAAATCCAACAACCATCCAACCAGCCCACGGACCACGGCCCTGAAGCAAGACAAGAAAAGTTTCTCTGCTTTTCCCCCATAAACAACATGAGCATCTGTTAACTGCAGTCTCCCCTCCATCAAGATGGGATGAGATGGGAATGGGTCGCATACCAGCCGGAGACCCAGACCCAGACCCAGGTATGCAAACAGCAACAGATGACGTATCTCAGCCCCAGCTCTGATCGAGAGGTGTACATATACATACATGCATACATATATCGCTAGGGAGAGATCATTAGGTGTTTGTCTATTAGTAATAGCGACACCATCATTACCATCAATGGGGGAACTGCATTTTCAAGGTTGGAGGCCACCATTCCCGCTTCATTGCCAACTGGAGCTGATGCTGATGCTGATGCTGCTGCTGCTGCTGCTGCTGGTGATGGTGATGGTGCCATGAAAATGCAAATTTTCGTTTATGTACGGGAGGGAGTAATCAATAAACCCAATCATCATCGCGGGCACATGGAATGAGAGGTATCGTAGGCATGAAAAGGCATGAGGAGAAAATGAGCAGAGAGAGAGCAAAAAGTAGAAAATGAACCGCTAGCGAACCTGATTTACAGTCAACTTTGCTGACCAACTGGCGGAATGACTGAATGGCTCACTTGCTCAGTGGCTCACTGCCTTAATGCCTCCTCACTGGGATTGCTTAACAGCTGGCAGCAGCAGCAGCACCAGCAGTAGTGCCAGTGGCAGCCGTAACTCTTTAATACTTTATGGCTACCTTTGATGGCTGGGACCCAGGCTGGAGGCTGTCCGCCTCGCCGCCTGGCTAAAGGTTCGTGTACTTTAGCCGAAGCGTCGCACTTTCGGTTTCGGACTATCCAAAAACTTGTTCACTCCATGCAGCAGAGCAGCGGCAGCAACACCAATAGCAGCAGCGACAGCAGCAGCAGCAGCAGCATTTACCAACAGTAAACCGATCAGATTGCATTCGAATATCCCCCTCTGTAGCTCTGTTCGAGTGGTATCTGTGTATGTGTGTCTTTGTGTGTTTGTGTGTGTGTGGTGTGGGCATTATATAATCCAGTTAATTTCTTTAACAATTTTTCTGCCGCTGGCTTCGTTGTTCCAAACGATTCATTCGTTGTTTTGCTTGCTTGTCCGAAGCCTCCTCCAGTAAACGTCATTCGTTTTTTGGAGCTCGCGTTGTTCGGACGTTGGATTTTTTTTTGGCGCGTTGACTCAGAAAGTTTATCAGGGGAACATTAATAAACTGGCCAAACTATAGCCATAATTATCTGACATCTGACAAGGATCTTTAAACGGGCGTTTGGCATTGCGCATACGCAGCGTATTACGGGAACGAATTCTAGACTAAAGGATTCAACAAGTGTGTAAGTGTTCAAGTGATTGTGATAAGAATATATGTTCTAGGATGCCACCAGGAAGCTTTGGACAAATTTTCAATAGATTTCCCAAAAGATTTCCCGTCCTAAGGTCTAGGCATAAATTACATACACAATGATTCGTCGTTGAGAACATTTTTTTATGAATCGTGGAACCCTTAGCAACTGTTTTTAATTTTTTTTTTTTTTTTTAAAGACAGATATAATATTCAACTAAGAATCGATTAGGAATTATGAAACCTTTTCGCATAAACTATGAAAATTTGCACACAAAAGTAATCAGCAAACAAACAACAACCAATTCAATAAATCAATCAACAATCAACATTCGTGAAAATTTCAAAGAGAGAGAAAATCATCAAATAAACGACGATTGCCAGAGCCTGTTGCATTATTAGCCCGTTAACCACACAAAAGCCCGCCACAAGAGCCTCAAGAGCCTCTAATACAAATGTTGAAACTCCCAGAAAGAAAGAGAAAGACAGCAAGCTATACAGAGTCGAGTCGAGTCAATCCAAGAGAGGGATCCAAGTTGGGAAGCCCGAACCGAATCGCACCGCACCGAACCCGCCATTGCCCAATGACATTTTGAAATCGCATTTCCAGTTGGAGGAAAACGCAAACGCAAACGCAAAAGCGCAAAACGAACGAAAACTGAAAAGCGACCAACTCCGACAAACCGAAAGCAAATGCAAATGCAAATTTACACACATTTTTTGGATCCCATACCCTCCTCTGTCTGGATACCAAAAGTCACAAATCAATTAAATGGCACAGCCTCTGCAACGAATCGAACCAATTTGCATTTGTCGGCGGCGCCGGGTGTCATGGGAAAACGAAATTTGGGAATTTAATTTTTGTATTTGGGATTGGGACTGTGGATTGGGGAAGTCGCCCCAAAGATAAAAGACAAAAGGGCAAGAGGGCAGGGCAAACATACTCGCAGCAGCAGGCTTCAAAACAAGCCGAAAGTCGAATCACAATTTGTGTGCAAATATTATGATTGAGTTGTGCTGTTGTGATGTTGTGCTGTTGCTTGGAGATGTGTTTGAGCGACTCAAACAGAAATGACTCGAATCGAATCGAATCGGGGGCATTGTTCAGCCCAGCTCTCCCCATCTACATACATCTTTCTCTGTGCCTCTGTGCCTCTGTGTCTCTGGAAATTATGCAACAAGTTAAAAACTGGACAAACAGTGCAACTCTTTCTTGCTTTTGGCTAATTATTTCTAGCTTACTCGTATGAATAGTTTTTTTTTTGCTCAACTTTTTTCCATATTCAATATCTATATTTGTGACCGACCCGCTTTCGGTAAACAGTTTTGAACTTGAACCAATTCGCAATTGAGGTTTCTTTCGCTTCTTTGGACCAGGCCATTGTATGTGGCCATAATGCCAGCCATTTTATAGTTTATGGCTTCCACAACCGACCAGCGCCTGGGCCTGGGCCCGGGCGAGAAAATAATTTATGCTGTTTAAAAAATATATTGTCCATTTGCATTTGGCTGGGTTGGTGTTTTAACAAATACGCGTCTGTCTTTTGTCTCTTGTCTCTTGTGTGCTTTAATTAGCAAATATTTGCAAATTACAGCGAATCGTGATCGGCCGAGGGTAAGCCTTGAGATCTCGTTGGGACCTTGAACTAATTTTTAGTTGGCCCTTTAGTAGGCAGTAGGTATGGTATTGTCATGGAATTAAGACGAATGGGTGCATGACTGAATGGGTGATTGTTTGGTGCTTTAGCTAGCATGGGGAATGACGCAGATATTGATGATTAAGGGGGGAAATTATGTTTGAAGGAATTAATTTTTTCATCAATTAATTCCAATTTAATCATTATTTTCTTATATTAATTCACATTTTATTCACAGCTGTCGCAATCCATGTTCAGAGCCTGACCGCATCAACATCCGTAGACACACTTAGTCGCATCTGCAGTCGGAACGAGATGAAGGAAACCAAAATGGTGCAGGACCAAGGAGAGACCAATGTGATGGGGCTGCCCGAGTCGCTGCTGAAGATCGCCAAGCGGGAGCTGCGCGAGGACCGTTGCACGCGGGAACAGAGCCTGGAGCAGCTCAGGAATTGGGTGATGAAGAACGAGGACCTGCAGAATGTGCGCTGCGATGACACGTTCCTGTTGCGCTTCCTGCGGGCCAAGAAGTTTAGTGTGCCGATGGCGGAGCAGACAATGCTCAAGTACCTCAATATCAGACGCACCTTCCCGCACATGAGCACCCATCTGGACTACCTGGAGCCGCGTCTCGGGGATCTCATCGATCAGGGGTACATATTCGCTGTGCCGCAGCGGGACAAGCACGGCCGGCGGGTGGTGATCATCAATGCCAAAGGACTGAATCCAAAGGTTCACACCAGCTGCGACCAGGCGAAGGCCCACTTCCTGACCTACGAGTGCCTGATGGAGGACCAGGAGACACAGATCACGGGCTTGTCGCATGTGGGCGACTTCTCCGGCGTCTCCACGGCCCATGTGACCAACTGGAATCCCACGGAGTTTGCTCGCATCTTCAAGTGGGGCGAGCAGTCGCTGCCGATGCGTCACAAGGAGATCCACCTGATCAACGTGCCCTCCACGCTCAAGTGGCTCATAGATTTCGTGAAGAATCGCGTCAGCTCCAAGATGAAAAACCGCCTCATCATCTACGGCAGCGAGAAAGAGCTGATGAAGGCAGTGGACGCCGGCTGCCTGCCCCTGGAGATGGGCGGCACAATGCCCATGCGCGAAATGATCGAGCTGTGGAAGCAGGAGCTGGCCGCCAAGCGGGACCAGGTGCTGGGCCTGGACAAGTGCATCCTGCTCTCCGACCGCGGCATCCAGCGGCGCAGCAGCTTCAACTCCGAGAAGACCGGCTCCGGGCCGAACTTCGTGTCACAGATCGAGTCCATCGAGGGGAGCTTTCGGAAGCTGGAGTTCGACTAGTTCATAGGTCCACCTCGGGCAGCGCCCAGCTCTAGTTTTAGGTTTTAGTCTTAGGCATCATCCGTTCACGCAGCGCATTGCTTTGCCGGTCCTTCGGGATGTTTTCTCTGCACGGAGGATATCCTGAAGGGCCCCCGCTTCGCTTTTCGGTGGCACCCCGCTTTACTCATCCTGCGCTTCTTTTGTATACTTTTTTTGTTGGCGTACAATAAACGAGAGGAATCACTTGGAACTGCTCGACTCTGCTCACTCGACTCCCCTCCTCTTCCTTCTCCTCCTTCCAGCATAGCGCGGCCAGAGCTGCAGCTCCTGCTGCACAGCCTCCGCATTTCCCACCACAAACAGATTGTATTCCGGGTGGAGTCTCCGTCGCTTGAGGGACTCCAGGAGCAGTGCCTGGGCGGTCGCCAACTGGCAGTCACTGGGTGGCCTCTGGCTGAAGTCCCCTACAAAGGCCACCACCAGGGAAGTGGCCTGGGGGAGCTCTGCAAAGTGACTCTCATACTGCCAGCCGCGTGCCTCGAAAGCCTGACAGTCGCCGGTTATAAGAAAGTTGTAGGGCAGCTCCTCCAAGCGATGCTTCTGCTAGAAAATTGAAATGTTTTTAGTACATATTACAGTACATATATATTAAATGGGACCCCTTTCACTTACCTGTAGCCTGTGTAGCAGCTCCAGGCAATCGTCGGAGCAAGCAGCGCTGGACGTGTGGGTAAAGTACACAGATACAACCGCAAACGGATCCAACAGCCGTGATCCCTGGCCATGCAGGTCCATATCGCTCCAGATATCGTGCTCGATCAGACTCAGGCGATACCCAAGGCCGGGCAGTTGGGCTGCAAATGAAACGATGTGAATCAGCAGTGAAGTTCCACGCCCAGTCGGCGATCATCGACCATTTCCGCTTGCCCACAAAAACTCACGCAGTTCGGCTTATCAAAAGTCACAGCATTCCCAGATTTATTTCAACAAACAAATTGAGCAAATACTCGGATCGGATCGGATCGGATCGCTTCAGCAATAAAACTCACTTTGTCTCCAGAGCAAATATACAGCCAATCCCAGGGCGGAGACGCACATAACTAGCAATCCCACAGAGCGCCAATTGAGGCAGTCTTTTGTGTGGTTCGATGGGGGAGATGGGGGAGGTGCTGCGGCTTTGTCCAGCAGCGGGGTAGACTCACTGACACTACCGCTGACCGCATCGACAGCAATAAAGATGTCATCCGCAGTGCCGAGGCTTCCATATGTGCCCTGGGAGAGGGATCGAGATCTCTTGCCGTCGGAGGTCGCCTCTGAGCCGTGGCGCAATGCTATCATAGCGAAATATAGAGCAAACAACACATGACGGAGCTTAGCCAAGATAAAAGAGTTCAGCTGATTAGCCAAGTGGGCCAGCTTGTCGTAACCGCTCTGCTCTTGGTGGGCATAGAATTTGCTGATCGCACGCAGAGTATAGGAGCTCACAAAGATGGGCATCTTGGCAGAATGCCAGATTGCCTTAACTCAACTGGCACTCGGAGATCTTTCAGCTAATCCCAGACATCATATCATGGCTGCTATCTATCTTATCGGAGCAGACGACAGCTTATCTGGGCCCACACTCACCCGCGATCACTGCACTCTGGTTGGAATCCATGACTGCTCTGATGGCTTCCCGGATGAGTGGTGGTTCAGCTTATAACTGGCTTGCGCTGGAATTCACACCACTCAATCGATCGACGACGCGTACCGCTGCCAGCAGAACTCATAAAACGACTGAAACGAGAACAACGAGAGAGAGGAGTGACCCGCATGACGATACATTGAAAACATTTCATCTCAACATTTCCCTGCCATAAAGCTGTCCTATAATATGATTATGAGTATTGTGTGCACTCTTATGGTATCAAATCAAATCAGCTTAGCTCCAGCTTGGGGCTCTCTCGTTTGAGCTTTTCGCTTGTTTTTTACTATTTTTTATTTGTTTAATTAGTTGCCAATAACAATGATTAATTGATTTATACAAAAAAGAATTGGGCTTTTTACTTAATTATTTTTACAGCGCTACAGCTCAGAACAATGGACTATACTTTCTTAAGACTTTGCTCCTAAAACTATATCGTGATACATCGAAAATAAGACATGAAGACGCGAGCTCCTGGGCTTCCCGGAGGCGATCTTTCTGGACAACAACTGAGACTTTTACACTACATACGACAATTTACACTTTCAATCACATAAAATGTGATGTGCCTGGCAACACAAGGCACAAGACAAAAGACTGGTTACTAGTACGAACGAAACGTTGGGATATCTAAATAAAATGCATTTGCTTAGGTCACTAAAGTAAACTTATTAAATATTGTGTAATTCTCATGCTGTTGTCTCTCTGCTGGCGGCCCTTACCTCGCTGTCTACTTATATGACCGCCAGATTTGCCAAGCGCACAGCGCAGCCGACAGGAAGGCGACGCCGCGGTGCAAGTATTTGGTTTTTGAGTTGGACGCATAGCCCAGGATCACAGGCGAGGATACATCTGTAAGTGGCAGCTTCTCTAAAACGGTGTCGTTGTTCTCCACCTAGTTAGTTCGGTATAGTTAGTTACGGTAATCATAATCAATGATATAGACCCAAACATCACCTGATATTGACAACACGGATCCGAATTCCACGATACCGTGTACAGGCCCGCGCAGAAGAGCGAGAGTCCACAGATGGGGACCGCAACAATGGGCCTATCGTGCCACAGCAAACTAGCTACAAGCGACACAGCTCCGGTGGCCACGGCCGATTTATGCAAACAATTACCAACCCAAATCCACCGACCTGTCAATCATCAGCAAGGAATCATAAAATGGGAGCTCTAGTTCATTGCCTCACCTGTTTCGTCGCCCAGGCGCTGCGGTTCAATGATAATAAAGTCTACCTTGGCTTCCAGCGCCTTCTCCAGCTCTGCCTCGAAACGCTCATGGGCGTTGGAGCTGTCGTATACCTCCCTTATGACATGGAATGTCGGCACTTTACTCGTACTGCATAAAGAAAGAATTCAAGCGTAATGGGGCATGCATCAATCACAGTTATCTGCAGACGGAGCCGCAGTCGCTACCAAGGTTAAGGTCGCGACGTTCCCGACTGCAGCTGCCTCCACAGAAGCCATGGTCTGAGTCAAATAAATAAAGAAAGCCGCGAAACAAATTGCATAACCAGACCAGGTGCCCTGGGAATTCCAGAACTCCGCTGCACTCGCTGGCCGTACGTGCGTCTTGCGTAATCTACGCCGCTCACGCCTCGTCCTAAATTGGGGGGAAAACTCACCTTTCTACGCTTCTGCTAACCATTTTGTTATTAATGTTGCATTTGTTAATGAATAAAACACAGTGTGACCGCAAATTTGTCGATAAAATACACGGTCTGACCCTCAGAAATATACCGAAACCACGTCTCAAATTTCATAATATACTGAAGAACTATGTGTATTCAAGTTCCATATTGTTCGTTTTTGATATTCGGTTGAATATTACTAGCTAGCTTAAGCTCTTAGCTTAAAACTCATAATTTTATCCAATTGATAGATACATTTTCTACAAGTTATGCTAATTTGAATAATTCCATTTTATTTAATGTTTTCTTAAATGAGGTTTAAGCAATTAAAGTCACAGCAAGAAAACGTAAGTGTGCACGGAATGAAACGTAAGTGGTTCTGGAATATTTCGTCATTGTTGCTGGTCAACAGGTATTTAGTTAACAATCAAATTAAGTTTTTCAAGCTTTTCCAGATTGACATGTCTTAGACCTATTCATGCTGTTTAGTTTCCTGTGTACACATATGTACATACATCGATCCTGATAAATATTCTTGGTCTCTGCAAAAAGACCACTATCTGCAAAATATCGTCAATAGCTTTAAAACTGAGAGACTGACTAGTTTCTGCATTCATTGGAGCCTGAAATGACAAACAGTTTCTGAACTCTATAATATTCGCTCATTTCGTGTTGCAGCAGCAAGCTAAAAATAAAATCCAAAAATAAATGCTTTGTGCGTATATTTTAAATACCACAGTCACACTGCAGATATGGTCACACTTTGTGCGCAGTAAACTCATTAAAAAAACACCGAATCGCAAAATGGAAATGCATCGTTTACCTCTACCTGAATTGCGAGACGACAAACACAGACACAAGCAGTGCAATGGGAACGAAAACAGCAACCGATTTCGGCCGCCCAAGTACAAGGGCCGCTTGTCGCAAGGCGGGTACGTGGCCGTGGAGAACAACAATGGCGCCAACAACAGCCAGTCGCTGGGATCCTGCAGTGCCCACAACAGCTCCAACATCGCCCATGCGATATCGTTTCGGGGTGTGGAGTTTCCGGATGCCAATACACTGCCGGCATCGCCGAATGTCCAGCAGGATGCCAGCAGCACAGATTTCGGCGACCAGAGCCACTTCGAGCTGTGCTTCGAACGTCTGGCCAAGCTAGGCGAGGGATCCTTCGGGGAAGTGTTTCAGGTGCGCGACCGGTCTGACGGCCGACTGTACGCAGTGAAAATCTCGAAGCAGCTGTTTCGCGGCGAGCAGTACCGGGCCGAGCGGCTGGAGGAGGTGCGCAGGTACGAGGAGTTCTCCGGCCACGAAAACTGCATCCGATTCATTCGAGCCTGGGAGCAGTACGATCGCCTGTACATGCAGATGGAGCTGTGCCGCGAGAGCCTAGAGCAGTATCTGCTGCGGTGCCAGCAAATTCCAGAGGAACGCATCTGGCACATCCTGTTGGACCTCCTGCGCGCTCTCAAGTCACTGCACGACCGGAATCTCATCCATTTAGACATTAAGCTGGACAATGTGCTCATCGGAGAGGACGACGAGACGTGCAAGCTGGCGGACTTTGGCCTCGTCATCGATGTGGACAGAGCCAACAGTCAGCATGCCACTGAGGGCGATTCTCGGTACATGGCCCCCGAGATCCTGCAGGGCCAGTTCTCAAAGGCAGCGGATGTCTTCAGTCTGGGCATCGCCATGCTGGAGCTGGCCTGCTACATGGAGCTGCCCTCGAACGGACCGCTCTGGCATGAGCTGCGTCGCGGCATCCTGCCCGAAGAGTTCATTGACAGTGAGTACACCAGATGTACACCCACAGTAGTGTTGGGTAAACATTGCTCATTTTGGTGAACATGTTTACTTGTTCTTTTTTGAGTAAGTGAGTCAACTCACTCATATTGCTCACTTGCTCTCTTAGATTGCTCAGTTACTCACTTGCTCAGTTGCTCACTGGCTCAGTTGTTCACTATTCATGCACAGATGGTTCCAAATTTCAATATACTTTCGAATTAGCGACATACTGAATTTTTGAAAGAGTAAACAGCTTTGCCGGTAATACAAAAATATTGAAGTAAACGCAAATAGGAGCAACAGCTTCCAGATCGTAATATGCCCTTTGAGGAGCAAAATTGCGCAAAAAGTGAGTAGAGAACAAGTGAACAACAAAGAACAAGTGAACAACAAAGAACAGCTTTGAAGGAATATGTTCAGTTGCTCACTTAAGTGAACAACTCTTTTTTGTTCACTCACTCATGAGCAACACAACACTAACCCACAGTGGATTCAAAACGGTGTGTAAGCCATGGCTTGTTCGTATTCGTCTAGAAATATCCCAGGAGCTACAGTTGGTCATCAAGTCCATGATGATGCCGGATCCAGCGGCTCGGCCAACCACAGACACACTGTTGTCCCACCCGAAGCTACAGAGAATGCAGGAGAATCAAAAGTCATTGATAACTGTCAGTAATCTGGTATGAAATCGTGTGAGGACTGCCATTAAATCATTGAATCTCATTCGTAATCCTTTCTAGTCGAGGAGCTTTCGCAAGTCACGTCGCGTGGTCTATGGAAAAGTGTGCAATTGGAAATCGTTCGCCTACCGATGTCTCTTTTATCTCCTGGAGATCTTGCATCTGTACAAGCCGATCTCTCCCTCCCAACCCACCATAACGCCAGCACCCTCCTCCCCAACCACATTCCTAGCCGCAGTACCGCGTGTCGAGTTTCAGCTGGTTGGATCCACGCCCATAACCAATCGAGATTGCTATGCCTCCGACTTTTTAACCGGCGACGATGAACTGGAGCTATCAAAGCAGGAAACGCCGCATGTAATAAATTCCACGCCACTAAATCACAACCAGGGCAAGTCCCGCCTAGACTCGTCCAGGAGAAGGTGAGTAGGGGCATCCAAAAGATGCAAGCTAGATGATTAGTAAGACTATCATAATTTTTCAGTTCACTGGGAAAAACCATCCCAACCTTGGAGCTTGACAGTCCCTATTCAAATGTTGCGTCGCTCAAATTATTTGAAACTTCATCGTTTCGGCGCAAGAAACTATTTGTGCTGGACTACGACGATGAGTGAAGATCGGAGGGAGGACGATCGATGGAAACGGAATGAATTTATTATACAAAAACAATATATCAGTTCTCAAACGGTAAACCAGGTACATATGGCAACATCGTATATCGTTAAATATATTTAGTGTAGTTGTAGACTTTAGTGTTGTACGAAAATTAATAGATTTAGGCATACAGTTGTGTAATGTTAATGCTTCTTTAGAAGAACTTGTTGAACTTGAACATATAATCATGTGATATATATACAAAATGCGATTTGAAAAGTTACAAAAAATAAACAGAAAAAAGCTGAAGTTTATGATCGAATGAGACCTTATGGAAAAAGCATCAGTGTGAGCGACAGAATATGCTTTAGATGCGTAGCGGTGCTATTATACATATTTCTCGTTTTTGATATTCCTTCGAATATGACTAGCTAAATAGAACTTTCAGCCCTGCCCACATAATTTTATGCCATTGATGAATAAATTTTGTACAAGATTAACTACTTGTAAGTACTCCCATTTATTGTATTTGACTAAGACAAGGTTTAAACAAAAAAGTTCAACAAAAAACATCCGCAATGTTGTCAATGTTGCTGGTATTTGAAGACATTTTGCTTCTCAACCGAAGTATGGGCATTTGTATACCCTATTTATGTAATTTAATATAAAGATCCTGTTTTCCAAACTGTTTTTAAAACATTATTAATAAAGGAATTTTCTCAAATTTATATGTTTAAGACGTATTCATGTAGTTGATTAGTTTCCTGCATATCCTGATCCAAATCCAAATACTCATTATTGGTCTCCATAAGAAGACAATAAACTGCAAAATATCGTTGAAACGAGATTAAAACAGAGCTCGACTAGTTTCTGCATTAATTAGAGCCTGTAATGGTAAACATTTCCGCAATTCTATAATATCCTTTTCCCTAGGGTATGCAGAATGTTGGCAGTGTTGCGGGAATGCTGCTCGATTCTCGGCACGAGTCTGGCCCAAATATGGGCTAGTAATTAATACATATTTAATATGTTAGGTATGGACGAGTATCACTTCCCTCCAATTGGCAGAGATGACCAACACAACGTTTGGAAGGCACTGGCAATTGCTTTATGCCGGATTGATGGAACACATTACCGAACCGTTTATATGACTGTGGCAACGCTGAAAGTCCAGCAGATAAGAAGCGTGGAGATCTATTGCGCCCTGAGGAAGGTACTGAAGGTTTTGCAAGGCCGAAACCTTGACCAGTACCAGAGACTATACAATACCAAGATGTTGCATGAGCGACCAAAAAGCTGTTCTATGGCGGGTCCTAACATTAGAACCCAAAAGGCGCCAAAGACATCAGCGACCACGCTGCCCTACGGTTTCGGCACGCAGACGATTCATATTTTGTTTTTGTATTCTATCTCTCGAGACACACCGACTCGACGTTGACCGAGGCATTGACGAAGCCGAGTAGCATTTCGGAGGCGAAGGTAGCGTAAAAGAGAATTGAAGTAATAGCCCCGCGCGCCCGTACCATGAAGCGTCAAACGAAAATTTAAAAAGAATTTGTTCCTCATGCAACATCTTGGCATTGTATAGTCTTTGCCAGTACCTAATGGCCGTTGTCGCCGATGGATGCTATGTTCTACGCCGCCCAGAGATATCCAGTCCTGTACGACATTATCCATTTACGAAAGAGAATGTTGGAGCATTACGACCATTGGGATACTGCCTTGACGTACCTGTATTTTAATCGCATATATTTTTGGACGATTTTCAATGGCTGAGAGCAAACATCGCGTCGACCCGTATTAAGCGGTTCGTAGTTTGGCGGTATATTTAAAACTAAGTTTATATGGATATAGTATTATATGAGGTGAACATAAAATCCATATTTAAACTAACTTATCAGTACAAATTTTAATAGTAGTTAAACGGTCGCGACAGGGATCCGGATGCGGATGTGTCGTGTTAATATTCGCCAATAATTGGTCATATTCACCCTAAGTCGATATCAAGTACAGTAAAAGTACATCATTTTAAAGTATATAATGATACTCATTGGTTCCGACCAATTCAAAGAGAGCGTTAACCGATTCAGAGAGAGCGAGAAAGAGAGCCGTAGAGCCGGCAGAGAAACGGTCTGTCCGGTTAGTCTCAGTCCCGATAACACAAAATCTATCGTTTATGAAAATCCCACACTTTTCAACACTGGAGGTCGCACATGTTGCTGCCAGCGAGGTAAACAAATATAAATAATTGAGTAAAATGGCCAGAAAAAAGACCCCCAAGAAGAAAGTTGAAGTCGTCTTCGATACCGAGAAGCGCAAGTAAGTATAATCAGTCAGAACATCCCAGTCTACTAATTTCTGCTTTCGTAGAGAGTTTTTGACTGGCTTCCGAAAACGGAAGAACGAGCGCCGCACACGCGCCAAGGCGGAGCTGACGAAGAACCTCAAAGACGAGCGTATACGTATCAGGCAAGAGGTTAAGGAGGGTTTCAAGCACCTCAAGAAATCCTATGAACCTCTGAAAGAACTCACCGAGGCGGACAAGGCCGGGGAGGAAAAGCAAGAGACCTACGAGGATGACGAAGTTCAGGTTAAAATCGTAGAGCTGTCCACCAATGACCTTGCAGCGCATGGAAACATGATCGGCGCCAACACGGGTGAGGAAAGCAAAGAAGAAGAAAACCAGTCGGAAAGCGAAGTGGAGGATACAAGCCGACCCGATCGGATACCCGGCATGGACTACGACCCAAGTGCACGCAAACGCAAAGCGGCACCGGCTGCAGTGGAGCCAAAGGCCAAGAAACCGGCCCATTCGGATGATCCGGACATTAGGAGCAAAAAAGATCTCGACAAGTTGATGAAGACCAAAACCCTGAAGAAGATGCACAAGAGCAAAGTTTTCAAGCAGAAGGAGCGCCTGGACAAGCAGGTCAATCTGAAGAAGGCCAAGCGGAACCACAACAATACCATCAAGAGCGTGCCGAAGCATCAGCGGAAGAAGCTCAAGTACGGTGCCGGCCAACCGACTGTCTACAGCAAGGGCCGCAAATTGAACAAAAAGGAGATCCGACGTCAGCGGGGCGACTAGACAGCACTAGACACCACTTTTTGTTTGTTTGGTTTGCCTATAAAATCTAGAGATCTAACATAGTTTGGTTTTACGGTTTATTTACTATTACACACTAGTTGATGAAATAAACTGTTTAATTTCTAAAATAATTTTGCTAATACGCCGTCACCGTCACCGGCTCCGTCTCCGGTCGCACACTTTTGTTCATAGGTATATTCATACTTGTATTATAGTATATATATAAATTATATCCAACATGCGTATTATTTGGGGGTTTATTAACAGTGGGGGCGCGGCGCCATCTATGCTCATCAGGATATCGTTCCTAGTGTGCTTGTTCTGCTCTCTTTCTCTCTCTCTCTCTCGATAAATAAAAGGGCGCGCCATTTAAATTATACTCAAGTTTCTCTGTGGTTTTAATCTAAACTCTCATTGTATGTTATATATGTACAAATTGGGTTGTTTTTAGTCTCTTAAAGGTAATTGGGTTGCTTTATTTTCCATCATTTGCAGCTCATTTATATAGTATTTAAGTGGTTTTTTGTTGGTTTGTTGGTTTTTTTTGCAAAGATTAAGGGCCGGCCATTTTTTTTAAAAATGTTTTGCGATAAATTTCTTAGACGCTGCATATGCCGAACGTAATCTTTTAGAACACAATAAATATATATATATAAAATGCCATACACGGGGATCTCGTATTTCTTTTTCTTTCTTTCTTTTCTCTTAAAACTTAATCATTCGCTTAATGGGTAGGGTTTGGGGCGCACTCTAGGGGGGTAGGGGTGTAGACGGCGCAACAATTATGCTCTAGCTTATAGCTTACAAGTCGTACTCTAAAACATGTTCAATCAGCAGTTAAAAAAAAAATAAAATAAAAACTCATCCGAACTAGCAATCGAAATCCAATAACAAATGCACAGGCACCAGCAGCCGCAGCAGCAGGAGCTGCAGCAGCATCCGCGTCCACATCGGCCACAAGTGGCAGTTAGGATTAGGACTGCTGTGACTGCTGCTGCTGTTGCTGTCCCGTCGGCTGCCGACGGTTAAAGACGCCACCGGAAGCCAGATGACGCTGCAGGGCCCGCTGCTGCTGGAACTTGGCGCCACCGGGTCCACCGAACCGATTGTATTTGAACTTGTTGCGCTGCTGGAAATTCTGACGAAAGTTCTGATTGTGGTAACGCGGGAAGCTGCCACCGCCGTTGCTGGACTTGTGCCAGCGCTTTTGGCTCTCGTACTCCTGGAATGGATTATAGCCGGGCGTGCTGCTGTTGTAGGCCTTTGCCGTTGCGGATTTCACTTTGCGCTGCCGTCCGCGATCCATTTCGTTCTCCTCCTCATCGTCGTGGTCGTGCTGTCGCTGCTCACGAGCCTCCGCCACCAGCTTACCGAAGGGAAACAAGAAAATAATCGAAATTTGGTAAGTAATTGCTTCTCCGCTTCAAGGGTGAGGGCAGAGGGCAGGCCGTAATGAAGCTTATGCAGATGAGGTAGCCACAAAGTTAACAAGAACAATGGAAATGGGATGCTAGTAGGTAATAAATGGCTTACATCAAAACACAAAAAGTTCGACAGTTGTTTTTTCTTTTCTTTTATTTTTTGAGTTTAAAGTTTATCTGGCAAAACGGTAACGGGCACGGTTGAATTTTATAGCAAAAGAAACAGGGCTCTGCGGGAACAGGAGACAACAGCAGTCAAATCATAAGCTTCATTGCACACACACAGGCACACACATAAACACCAGATGGAGATTGGGGGGGCGGGATTCTTTGGGAGAATTACCTAGGCTCTCGGCCGCAACCTCAGGCGCAGGCAACTCAACGGTTCTTGAACCCATTTTCGGGGGGCCGAGCATTGAAGATCTGTCCAACGGATGGATGGATAACTTCAAAGCAATCACAGACTATATTCGTATTCGTATTCGTATTGAGAAGGATTTGATTTGCCGCGCCTCCTACCGGGTATCCGGTTCGGTTGCGCCAGCGACTGTCGTTGCCGTTGCCATGGTGTGATTGCTACTGCCACTGCCACTGCTACTGCTATTGATACTCCCACTGCCACTGCCACTGCCACTGCTACTGTCGATGTTGATTGCTGATGCGACGACGCCGTCGTTGCCGCCGCTACCATCCATCCACATCCACATTGCTGTGACCAGCTATCCGTTTCGCACAAACCAACTCAAAAGTCTAAATGAATCGGGAAGGATACAAAAATCGTGTGGAGACAAATGGAAAGCAAAATTACAAACAAGTTTCGTTTTTATTAGAAATGCAACACGCATCAACCACAACCCAAGTGAGAAGTGCATGCAGGAAGAGATAGAGATCGGATCAGAAATGGAAGGGCCACCACAAGAATTTTTGTTTTTGTTTTTGTTTTTTTGGGATTTGTTAGTGGATTAGTTGGGCCACAGAGCCCGCCGGTTCTACGAGCACGCTCTTGTGTTCACTTACCTCCTTCTCCAGTTCCGCTGGCTTTCCGCTCCAACTAAGGACCGAGGCGGAGCCGTAGCCGCGATGCGTCTGCTTCAGCAATTCGTTCACGACATTCCCATTGGTTGAGGCCTCGCTCTGGTAGCCATTACCCACGCGTGGCTGTTGCTGTGACTTGACGGCGATGCCATTGAGCAGCTTCTGCCGTTTGGCGCCAGGTGTTGTTGAGGACTTGGCAAAGGGATTACGAGGGTTTTTAGATGGCGTTGACATCACCTGGTGCTGCTCCTCCTCATCTTCATCGTCGTCATCATCTTCATCTTCATTGTCATCGTTGCGGGTGACTTTCCAGATGCCCGTCTTAGATTTAATAACGGCCGGCGAGGGTGGTGTCTTGGGAGAAGGCGGGGTTTTGCTTTGTGTCAGCGATTGTGACTGTTTCTGTGGCTGCCAGCCGTTGGTCAGCTTGCTATTCTCCTCTTCCTCATCTGCATCTTCATCATCGCTGTCGTCGATGGCTGGCGGTGGTGGTGGCTTGTGTTTGGCTTGATAGTTGTTGAGGCTCTTGAATATCTCGTCTATGGCATCAGTCTTTTGTTTGCTGCTGTTGTTGCTGTTGTTGTTGTTAATGTTTACCAACGATGCGGCGGACGCAGAGGCGGACGCCAATGACGAGGAGGAGGATGTCGCCAAAATAGTCTTGGCTTTGCCCAAGCCATTCCCATTGGTAAGGCTACCTCCGTTGGTCTTGGTGTGACCATTGACATGACCCGGCTGGGGGTCCGAGTCGCCCGAGTCGCTTGAATCCGAATCGCTGCGTCGTTTTCGTGGATTCGGCAGTGGCTCATCCTCCTCGGAGGCCGACTCGTACGGCACCAGGCTCTTGAGTGGCGTCTTGAGTAGACTCTTAACGAGATTGGTCTTGACTGAGCTCTTTAACGGAGTCTTTGGCTTGTCGCTGCTGTCCTCCGTCATCTTGGGCATGCTGGGCAGCTGTGCCGTCGGCCTGGCCGTTGCTGTTGCTGTTGCCGTCGCTCCGTCTTCACTGTCCTCATCCTCGGAGGATATTGGCAGATAATGTTGCTGGTGCTGGTGCTGTAGTTGGTTCACCGATTTGTTGTGGTTGCTGTTGCTGGCTGAGGAGGAGGAACTTTTGTTACCATTTGCAGTTGTAGCTGGAAAAGCTTCGCCTTTATTGTATGCGCCAGCCAGTGGAGACTTCGCGTGCGGAGGCTCCTGAAACTTTCCGGTCCCCACTTGGAGACCGTTCTGTTGTGGGTGCTGCTGCTGCTGATGCTGCTGCTTGAACTGAATGGCAGTCTTCTGGGCATTGGAACTACCAGTGGCATGGCCATTGCTATATCCATTGATACCGCCTGGCGGCAGCTGGGGTCCAATGAAACGTGTATGCGTGGGTGAGGAGGAGGAGACTGTGGCTGGGACAGCCACTGGACTGTGGCCATTGGTCAGACGCAAGCCATTGCTCTTGAGCGGAGTGGTCTGTGACAGATCCAGCTCGTAGAACATGATGTAGGCGTTGGTGTTGCACACACTCTGCATGGCAATGGGGCGCACGTAGCTGTCATCAAAGTTGTAGTAGCTGCCCGACTCGGTCATACCGATGGCCGTATAGTGGCCGCAGTGCTGAGAGACTCCCAGGTGTGTGACCATGGAGACGAGGCGGTAGGTGAGCGGCTGGGCGGCAGCCGCCGGCGAGCGGGCAGCAAACCTACTCAGGTCAATGCGTGGCTTGAAGCTGATCGTCTTGGTCAGCTTGTTGCCGATCATCGAGAAGCGCTTCAGCTGGATGCACAGCGTGATTGGGGCCCGCTCCAGGCTGAACTGTTTGGTGGCCGAGACCTGCAAGTGGATTAAAGATTATAAATCAACCACAAGCATTCCTAACTCTTTCTAAATGTCGGACTCACCTTCTTTTTGCAGCCCTCACACTTGTATCCCATGTCTTCGAGTCGCTCCCTCGAGAAGTAACCGTCGAACGCCTCCTCGAGCGTGTCCGACTTGCGTATATCGAGCAGAAGGTCCTGGAAGTGCTGGAAGGTGATTGAGACGTGGCTGCAGCTGAGGCAACGCACCTCGCTGCGCAGGTAGCCACCGAATATCTGATTCAGTGGCGTCGTCTCCTTCACCAGCTGATCTAGCTCCTTGAAGTTGCGGAAACGCATCAAGTACGCCTTCTCCATGGCCTCCACCAGGAAGCGCAGGAACTCGTGTGCATCCTCCTGCCGTCCCACCACCATGTGCTTGCAGATCTGCTTCAGCTTCGAGTAGATGTGGAACGGACGCATGGCCGACTGGCAGGACTGCGTCGACTGTAGTGTCTTGGCCATGGCGCAGATGATGCAACCGCCATTGGACTCGGTTATGTTGCAGTTCTCCAGATGCGTCTGCTCCGAGACGAGCCAGTTGGCCAATGCGGGTATGTGGAAGAGGGCCTGCAGCGTTGAGTTAAGGTAGCAGGTGTTGCCCACATTTATCATGCCCGTGCCGACCTGCCACTTGCGCTCCGATTGCTTCCACCCGATCCTGATGTTCTCTCGGGGATAGAGGACGCGCTTTGGTTTTGGCAGCTCGTTGGGACTGGGACCCGATTGGGTGGACTCTGACTGGGACAGCTTGCGATGGCCATTATTCCCATTGTCTGCGAATAAACCAGCAAATTGATTGAGCACACGCCAGAGAATTTTAAAAAGGAGGAGCAGTTTGAGGAGCAGTTTGAAAAGTAGCCACAGGCCAAAACTGTCCACAATTATCACAGTCATTGTGCATTGAGCACTCTGCTCATTGAAAAGATTCTTTACTCGTTCCGCGCTTGCTTGCTACTAAAATTAAAACTATGACAAGGTGGCCAGGGAAGACCAGTAGAGGTGGATGTTAACATCGATGTCATCGATGGTTGGGTGTCCACAGCAGACATCGATGTTTTTTCTCAAATATCGATATATTTCTATATAGTATAGGGGGAAACTGCTGACACACACAGGCACACACACACATATGGTCACCTGTGTGGTACGCCATGGTAGATAACAGCGAGCGAGTGTCAGCGTTTCACTTCTCGTTAGAGAATCGGACACTGCGTCGACTCAGACACTAGTGCCATCCCCCTCTGTCCTATGCAAATCGAAATGCCACGAGCACGAGTGTTGCCAACTCAATTTTTGGCGCGACTTGACAGTGGTTGTTGTAGCCACAACACTGCTCTGCTCTGCTCCCCTTTGTATTTGTTGGCCAGGCTGAGGCATTGACCAGACCCAGACCAGACCGACCTCATCTTATTACAGCGTCGCCTTGTATTGTCTTTGTATTAACTTCCTGCTTGAGGCAGCTGAGCGAATGCCAGCCAGCAGCATATGTGTGGGTGTGTGTGTGAGAGAGTGAATCACGCATTTCGCAATTGCTCTTTTACTTTTTTCTCCATTCATTCATATAAGCAACGTTGCAGAAGACAAAAATGCAACGCATTTGCAAAAAGAAAAAAAATTAAAAAAAAAAAAATTACTATTGCTAGCACAGCATCAGGCCATATGTGTGTGCAAAAAAGGAGCATACATATTTACATAGAGAGGGGGCCGCCGCCTCGTGCGGATGTTTGCCGCGACGGCAGCACGTTTTTTTTATTCTCGTACTGCTCCGCCTTCAGCTGCCGATTCCGCAATTCAGAACTAGCGTAGTAAGCTCTCTCCTCTCTGCTTGCCACTTCTTGCTGCTGACTGCCTGTCCAACTCACTCTTTGCGGTGTTGTACTTGTTTTGCTTTTTCACATTTCTTTTCACACTGTTTACACGTACACCACCCAATCTCTCTCTCCCACAATCACACACACGGACAAACGCCAATGTATACGCACGCAACAAAAAGTACAGGTATGCTGCTTGCGTTGGCCGCGCTGCCGGCGCCGCTGTCGGCAAACTGCAGCAAAGCCAAGAGTGTAAAAATTAAAGCGGAAAAACCACACACACGTGATTCCCTCTGACCAGGCCATAGTTTTGGCTAAAATAAACATAAAATATATGTACACATGCATGTATTTCTGTGTGTGCTTGTGTCTGTCTACCAAAACCAAGAGACGCACATGGAAAATTTTTCAAATTGCGACACAAAGAAACATAAGAGAGAGAGAGACACGGATACGGAGAAAACCAACTACTAAGCGATTGGGGCAACTTCTCTTCCCCCTCTTCGTCGTCTCCTACGCTACTCACCGTGTCCATTTGCTCCCACAACTTTGCTGTTGCCAAAGTTGCTCCCGTTGCAGCTGCTGCTGTTGTTGTTGTTGTTGCTGGGTTGCTTGATGACTATGTACTTGTTCTTCAACTGCTCCAGCACCGAGTCGTGGTAGTTGGGGACCTCCTCGTACTCGATTTTGGACATTAGAATCCGCTTTGCATACGCACTGACAGCAATTTGATTATGCATTTCAGAGTCAGAGTCGTCGCCGCCGCCTCCGCCGGTTTTTTTGGCCTCGTCAGCAGCCCTGCTGCCGTTCCCGACGCCAAGCGATTCGCGGAGCGCAGCGTTGACGACATTCGCCGTTTCGCATACAGCCATCGAAACGGGCATGGCGATGCTCCTGCTGCTCGTGGGTGTTTGTGGAGGAATTTTGAAAAATATCTGCTATCGCTTCCTGGGATAACTCAAAGTCGCTGCGGTTACGGGTGATAACCAAGAACAAGGCTGAGAATAATGGGGGCGCCGGTGGGGAGGTGGGAAATGAACAGCATCCGCCTTTTCTATGGCTGCTGCCTCTCGTGCTGCTGCTGCTGTCGGCGGCTTCGGTTAGCTGCGGCACATTTGTGATCCTTGCAGATCCTCCGCCCACGATAGTCCAGCCCCCTGTCTCGTCTCCGACCGCGACACGTCCTTCACCGACGGTTCGTTGCCGCGCTGCTGCTACAATCGCTACCACTTTTCTGGTTCTCTCTTTGCCTTGCTTCTCACCGACTGCGGACGACCGACACACGCACACACACACTCCGAAACCCTTTTTATGGCTCTAAAAAGAATATACACTTCGATTTAGTCGAAATTTGAAGAAAACGCGTTTCGGCTTAACATTTTCAATTGAATCGCAAAATTTTCAACAATAGTTCGAGCACATTTTGAAACGAAAAGTTGGCTTTACGATTCCTCGTGTTTCTTCCGACTGCGGATTCTCTTTTCGCACGTCTTCGTCGTTTCGACTTGCCCACTCGCGCCGAATCAATAGACGCGTTATGGTATTTTAGCGTCGGTCGATGTTTTCGCCAGAAAACCAAAGAACCATTGATATTGAGATTAGCGTCGCCATCAGGGTGACCGTTTACGTTATTTTTAATACTTTTCGGTATTTTTTGAGGTCAAAATTGAAGCGACGGTATATTTTTGGTATATCGGTATACAATGGTATATTTCGTCAATTTCATCAATCTAAAGTGTTAAAAATTAAGCCAATCAAGTAGAAAATAGATTCATTAATCGTATAAAATTATGTGGGCAGGGCTGAGAGATCAATCTTGGAAGTAATATTCCACGGAAGATAGAACTTGAATTGAAGTGAGACGGTATGTTTCGGTATATTTCTGACGGTCGGACGGTATATTTTATCGATAAGTCCGCGGACGTAGTTTCGATATGCTGATAAGATGGTAATAATATTAAATTTAAACGAAGCAAGAAAGACAGCTATGGCATCCACGGGCTTGCTAGTAGTCTCCAACGTTAAGCACCTGGGCAAATCCCTGCGGAGCATTGAGAAATACGTCAGCTCACTGTACATACACCTGAATGTGACAGGGTCAACGTCCAACTCGCTGACAACTCCTCCGCCCGTCTGGGGTCGTTTGATTTCGCAGCTGTATGCCAACAGCAGCAGTTATGTAGGCAATAAGATCGATCTTCGGGTGCTGGTCTCCCCGCTGAGGCCCGGCGTCGACGTACCCTTGAAGTTGCGCAAGCCCGTGGACCTGATATTCTCGGATAGCCACCATCCGGAGTTGTGTGACAAGCTTCGGGCTGCCCTCAATGTTAGTAAGCCCACCATCTTTCTGGAGGACAGCAGCTCCACAGATCTAGGCTCGCACGAGGACAACTCGCAGGAACAAAAAATGTATCCGTCGGTGGTCCTGGGCGGAACCTTCGATCGCATCCATCTGGGCCACAAGATATTTCTCACGCAGGCGGTGCTGCGCACTTGCAAGCGTCTGGTGGTAGGCGTAACGACAGCCGCCATGACAAAGTGTAAGTTTTGAATGAGTCGGCAATAGTTTCTTATCTATTACTCACCTTCAGCGAAGACTCTGCCCGATCTGATATTACCCGTGGAGGAGCGTATCGCCCTTTTGCGGGAGTTCCTCACGGACATCGACAGCACGCTGCAGTACGAGATTGTGCCCATTGATGACCCCTTCGGGCCAACGCAGCATGATCCGGACATGGACATGATCGTGGTCAGCGCCGAGACCCTGCGCGGTGGTCAAAAGGTAAACGAAATTCGCTCCGGCAAGCAGCTTCGTGAGCTGGACATCTTTGTCATTGACATCGTTGAGAGCAATGTCAACGATGGCATCCACGAAACGAAGATCAGCTCCAGCAACACTCGCATCGATCTGTTGGGCTCGCGTTGGCGAAAACCGGAACCACGTCCCCACTTGCCTATTCGGCCGCACATCATTGGCCTGACTGGGGGAATTGCCTCTGGCAAGAGTAAAATGGCCGAAAGGCTGAGCAATATGGGCGCCCATGTCATAGACTGCGACAAGGTGGCCCACGATGTGTACGAGCCAGGTCAGGTGTGCTACAAGAGGATCGTGCAACACTTTGGGACGACTATTCTCTCTAGCAATGGTCGCATCGATCGAGCCAAGCTGGGTCCCCTAGTCTTTGGCAATCCCCTAGAGCTACAGGCCCTCAATGAAATTGTCTGGCCTCAGCTGATAGAGGAGGTCAACAGACGACTGGATTCCTTGAGAGCTGGCTCCGAGGTGCCCAAGGTGGTGGTACTGGAGGCAGCTGTGTTGCTGAGAGCCGGCTGGGAGAGCAACTGCCATGAGGTTTGGTCCATGATAGTACCGCCCGAGGAGGCGGTGAAGCGGGTAATGGCTCGGAACAGCCTCAGCGAGGCGGAGGCCAGAAAGCGTCTGTCCAGCCAGGTGTCAAACCATGAAATTGTGGCCAAATCCCATGTGATTTTCAGTTCGCAGTGGGACTATGAGTTTACCCAAAAGCAGGCCGATCGGGCCTGGAAAATACTCAACAGTGAACTGGACTCGCAACACAGCAGCAGCCTCTAACTTCTTGACTACTACAAGCAGGGGATATTTTGGGGTGCGGTTCGGAATTGTTTGTTACACCCTTTTTTATATGATTGTGCATTTTGTTGTTCATTGCTTAGTTTTAAGTCGAAAGTTTAATAAGAAATGCCAAGAAAACATTGTAAAAACGTTAAATTTTAGTATTATTTAGTTATTAGTGGCTTTCGCCCTTCTTTCCGGCCACACGCTTAAAGTCGTTCATCTTGGTTGTCATGATTGGGGAGCCGATAAAGCCAATATAATCGATCTGCGTCACATCGCCGCCCGACTGATTGTTCTTCACAAAGATCTGTATGTTTTGTACATTCTGAAATTTCACATAGCGCAGATTGACTGGTGCCCCGTTCTCCAGCTCCTTCTCAGCCAAGCTATGAATGGGGGAAAAGCAATTCAAATATAGAATCGACTGGTAATGCTAATGCAAGCTTACGTCAAATCCTGAACGCTGCTCATGGACTCTGCCATATCAAAGTCAATGGTACGCGGCTGGTTGATGAACAGCTTTACATCCTTGGGACCCAGCTGCGACGGGGCTTTGAACTTTAACGAATGGATCTTTACTGCCTGGTTGAAAGTGATGGATAAGATCAGCTGCTCATCGCAGTCGGACTGCAAGTAGCCGCCGGCTGAGGCCAGGGCATGCTTGAGATTGTGATCGTCGGCCTCATTCAAGCACTCGCACTCCTGCTTCGATATGAATGTATTCAGCTCCATCTGTGCATTGAAATGGAATTATTATTTGTTTACTTTGCTGGCCGTATTGAGATGATCTTACCAGGCCCTGGCCGTAATCTTCTCCGGCCTCTTCGCCGCCGCTGGAGCCAATATGTTCCTGAATCTTGGCCTCCAGTCCGTTGACGTCAGCGCCCTGAATTCGATCGATTTTTGTTCTGTTTCTGTAGAATATGAACGTGGGCATGGCCGACACACCCTGGCCGGCGGCCGTGTCCTGGCACTTGTCCACATCCACCTTCAGGAAAATGGCATTTGGGTACTTATTAGGAAACAGCTCGAAAATCGGTGCAATTCTTTGGCAGGGGCCGCACCAAGTGGCTGTGAAGTCCACCACCACCAGCCGGACACCAGCCTGGGCTAATTCCGCTTGGAAGTGTGATTCGTCGTTAATAACGCGAACAGCCATCGTAAATTTGCTTAATTGAGAAAATCGGCACCGACAAAAGATGACTGGGCATCTGCGTGACCGCGAATTTATGGATACGATGTACGGTCTGACCCTCAGAAATATACTGTCCTATTTTCAAAATATACCGTAAATATATCGATGAAAAATATTTACTTTTATTTATAAAAAAAAGACATTTTTCCTTTATGTGAGATAATCCTACTTAGTTGTGATTTTGTTATTTTCCATGGCATTTCGTGCGCCATATTTCTTTTTCCGGTTCAACATTTTCGCAACTGTTTCTGGCTCTTAGACTTTGGCTTAGTTAGAATAGATTTGAAATATTTGTATTCTTAAATCTATTTTTATACTGGCTCTGAATAAATTTTCCTCCTGAAAATTCGCTCATATGATAGCTATGAATATTGGCTTCGTTCACGATCGTCAATCATATTCCTCGGCTTTGATATTTTCTAAACAATTTTTCATGTTTTACCACTAAAAACTGATATTTTTCTTCAAAAAAGTTGGCAGCACTGGCAGTGGTGTGAATGCATTGACAGTAGTATTTTTTGGAGACAGACATTCGGTCACACCACACGTGGTCTCATTCGCATTTTCATTTAAGTCGCCATTTTTAAATTACTGTAAATTGACTTCACTATGGCAGACGCAGAAAAAGAGCCCGAAAAGACTATTGCCGAGGATTTGGTCGTTACCAAGTACAAATTGGCCGGCGAAATTGTAAACAGTAAGTGAAGACTTTCAATTGCATAGTGAAAGTGACTTGACGCTACGTGGCGCTTACACAATGCTCCTCAATGTCCGCTTTCGCTTTCGCTTGGCTGTGGCTGTGGAGCTGCCACGCACATGCATATCGCTGGCGCAACGTTGATAAATTAGACTATTTCTGGACATTTTCCGTTGTTTAATTTTAGAAACACTCAAGGCGGTGATCGGACTCTGTGTGGCTGATGCCTCCGTAAGGGAAATTTGCACCCAGGGGGACAATCTGCTGACTGAAGAAACCGGCAAAGTAAGTTATCAATGGAATTCTCTATTGCCCAATTGCTTTTTGTCCAATGATTAAAAACTACACGCTTGAGGACATCCAATGCGAGTCGTGTGCTGTGTGGGGCTGGCGGCCGCGTGGTCGCCAGGCGCACGTTGAGGGATATGTCCCCCACGTGTCACGGGCATTCTCTCGCCATTGGTCCCAAAGATTCGCAGATTATGAGATCTGAGGACACATTGGCCAATGCAAGAGTTTTGCGATATCAATGTACAGTATTAATAAGGACAGCTTTCCTTTAGGTATACAAAAAGGAAAAGGACCTGAAGAAAGGCATCGCATTCCCAACATGCCTGTCCGTCAACAATTGTGTCTGCCATTTCTCGCCAGCAAAGAACGACACCGACTACACGTTAAAGGCCGGCGATGTCGTTAAAATGTATGTACAAGATTTTGGTAATTCCCCTGCGCTTAACTTATCCAGGATCTTATTTCTTTGAAAAGTGACTTGGGCGCCCACATTGATGGTTTCATCGCCGTGGCCGCTCACACAATTTCGGTTGGTGCCAGCGCAGATCAGAAGATCAGCGGACGCCCAGCTGATGTCATCCTGGCCGCCTACTGGTCCGTTCAGGCCGCATTGCGGTTGCTAAAATCCGGCGCCAATGTAAGTATTCCTATTCCAGCCCTAAAATTCAATGTTCCGTCTGCAGGCAAAGCTAAATGGCTGCTGCTTTACCATTTTGCACAGTACACCCAAACTCCTGCAGATATCAATTGTCAATTTCGTGAACTGGACAAGTTTATTTGCTAGAAATGTTCGGTCTTTAAAGTTGTCTACATCTTAAAAAATCATCTAAATCTGTAGTACATAAAGCGGATTTAATAATTGTTATTATTTGCTTGCAGAACTATGCCATCACCGATGCCGTGCAACAAATCAGCGAATCGTACAAGTGCAAGCCGATTGAGGGCATGCTTAGCCACGAGCTGAAGCAGTTCAAAATCGATGGCGAAAAGACAATCATACAGAATCCGAGCGAGGCTCAGCGCAAGGAGCACGAAAAGTGCACCTTCGACACGTACGAAGTGTATGCCATCGATGTGATTGTGAGCAGCGGCGAGGGCGTGGTTAGTAATCCTCCTTAGCCGTAGCTATACCAACTCTTTGTTCGATGATTAAAAACAATGCGCTTGAGGCTGGCCCAGCAAAGATAAGGCGTCATGTCATGCAAGCGTCTTGTACGCTCGGCGGGCTTTGGTTTGTAAGCACGGCACGTGTCCAACGCCAAGGCTGCGCTGGCTGCTGGCCGGAGATTGTAAGATTATGAGATCTGAGAACGCAATAGGACACTGAGAATTCCATTCGACCGCTTTTGAGGGTATTGGCTAAGAATATCTAATTATGTTGCAGGGACGGGAGAAGGACACCAAGGTCTCAATCTACAAGAAGTCGGAAGAGAACTACATGCTCAAGCTGAAGGCATCCCGTGCCCTGCTGGCAGAGGTGAAAACAAAGTACGGGAACATGCCTTTCAACATCCGCAGCTTCGAGGAGGAGACCAAGGCACGCATGGGCGTCGTCGAGTGTGTCTCGCACAAGATGATTGAGCCCTTCCAAGTGCTGTACGAGAAGCCAAGTATGTTTGATTAGCTACAGTTTACTATTCATTGGCAAAACTTAATTCCGGATTTGGTTCACCTTTTGGCTATCAAACACGGCCAGACATTTTGCCAGAGCAAACCCCAGGCCTTGGCGTCTTCAGTAGTTGCCCCAAAATGGCCTCTGTCTGAACATGCCATTGCCACACTCCAATCGAAAGACAAACCCCAGGTGAACATTCAATAATTGTACTTTTATCATTACAGCTGAGATTGTGGCGCAGTTCAAGCACACGATTCTGCTCATGCCCAATGGCGTTAATCTTGTCACCGGCATACCATTCAATGTGGACAGCTTCGCAAGCGAGTACAGCATTGCGCAGGAAGAGCTGAAGGTAAGATAATTTCGCTTACGACGGGATTTCGATCGTATCTAATCTTCTTTTGCTTTTCAGACACTGGTCGCACAGCCACTAGGACCCGTCAAGGGCAAGGGAAAAGGCAAGAAGGCATCTGCTGCGGCGACCAAGGTAGATTCCGCGCCGGCGCCCGTTGAGGCCAAGGCATAGAACCGACCGAACCCTAAACCCTGATGAGCATCCACGAGAACAACTAACGCGCTGCCTAATGCTGCCGCAGCTCCTTCATAAACCCCCCAAGAAATCACTTACCCAATTTTGACAAACTACCGGCAAACAGATCGAAGTTTTTTTTATTTGTACACACACACGCCAGGGAATACCATTAGCATTTCCTTCCCTACCTACCCTCCTTCCAGCATTAATGTGGTGCAGCCACCACCTGGGGCCGCTCTTACTTTTACCTCTTTTAATATACTTTATTATTGTAACGCGTGCGCCCGGGGGACTGTAACTGTTTTCGTTTAATCGGTTTTACAACGAATAATGCAAGAACTGTCGTCAAATTGTAACAATTTTAACGCTAAACATGATCTTTAAATATAATTCAAGATGAAACAAAACAAAAAAACGTTATCAACGCTGCGTAGTAGGTATTAAATAAAATTACCTTTTTCTATAAAAACCAACAACCGATAAATACATTCCTGGTGTTTCAGTTATCTAAAATGAATAGACCATTATAGCCTTATGACATACTTTGCTAACTGACTAACAGCAAAAGCAGAGACAGCCTTATGGGAAACGCATGCAGTCAGAGAGAGAGAGAGAGAGGTAATTCGTCAGCATAGCTTTCCATTTGAACTGGAGCAAAAATGATCGATTGTTGCACTTTTCAGATGAAATGTTGCTGTCTGGCTGTCTCTGGCTCATTTTGTCACAATTGTTTACTCAGGAGTCGATTTATCGACTATTTCCGATAATTTATTAACCTTTTCGATGAAATATCGATATCTGCCATAGAAAATATGTAAAATAC